CCCCCCCCCCAACGAAATTGTAACCAGCGATATCCTTGCAGGACGACTCAATGTATGCAGGATTGTTAGAGCTACATCTCTTAATACCTCTCCATCGTAGATGTCGGTATCATTCACTCAGATGCGTGTAATTTAGGTATCCATATTTAATTATATTTGGAGACATAATCATCATCGTCTTAATCGCCGGCGTGTATTTGGACACAAGATGGCGGAAATAACAGTAGAGTAGAGAACATTTAGTAACTTTTTCGTCTCACCAAATACAATTAAGCTTATGTGTGGAGGTAGAGGGGCACGTGGAGGGATGAGAATGGGAGTCAAAGTTTTGGACAGGAAACAGGAAGTCATGTGACAACTTGAGGGATTTAGTCCTAGGTAGGAGGATGATACGAAAATTAATCTTAAAGACATAATGTGTGAAGGTCTGGGCTGGATTCACACGGTTCAGGATGGTACTTGGTAATGAATGTTTGGGTTTTATAAAAGCCAGGTAATTCCTTGACTAGCTGAGCAACTTTTATTTTGTGAAGAACTCTGTTCTATGCAGTAATTTAGTGAGGTATCATAATATTACAAATGAGGTCTATCTGTCCTTATAAATTAGAATATCTCACTTTTTAAGGATATCTTTCTTCCTGTATACATACATACTTACATACATACATAAAAACATACATACATACATACATTACACCTGTAATATTTTATCCGGTGTCACATTTCTGGGAAAGTTCTGGGTGAAGCCCAGTCGTCCATAAATATTAAAGAAATATTTATGATGTTATTTAGTTTATAAGAAGTACTTTCTAAACAGTTCATTTCCTTAGAAATCGCAATATCATTCAGTCATGTGTAGGAAATGCATATTAAGGCGTTAATTCTAAGATAATCTTTGATTTTATTTGGCTTAACGAATAAAGATTTTTATATCGTGGTGGCATTAGGATTAAAATTCTCTAAAATGTGACTTCATGTTGTTTGGTAGATAAATGCAAACCGTTTAGAGAAATAAGTTCCCTCTTTCCATGGAATGCCTACAAACCTACGTGGAGTCATGTGCGAGAAGACCGTATTGCTAATAATACACACGAATATCACATCTTCCAAGTCGACATGACATTGACAAATAACCTGTGTTCTGACACGTTTCATGTTGGTATGATTTGTTTCCGATCATTCCTTAGAGCGAACAGTTAAGGTTCGGCAACACAGAGCCCTACGCTATGTTCGCTACGTACGCTACGTAGGCTGTATACACTCTGCGACGCAGCTAACATAGGGAACATAGCGTACGTAGCGTACGGAAGTCTGTGTGGCTAGTCATATTGCCAATAAAGGGAGATATTTTTCTGTTCGTATAGCGAACATAGCGTACGTAGCGTGCGTCGCGTACGTAGCGCTATGTCTGGCCGAACCTTTACTGTGAGATGTCGCATCTATCACCGAATCCACATGTTTATTTTTCCAAATTAATCAACGGATTCGTATGGATGTAGGTGAATTTAGAACGGCGATTTGCAGTGAATTTGTGATGTAGCGCCATTTTGAATCGTGCTGACTACTAGCTCTTCTTTATGTAGAAGTATTATACGTACAGTAACTTAGTAGAAACTGGTACGTTCCTGGCTACAGATCCAGAAGTCCGGGTTCGAATCCCGGCGCTACCAGGTTTTTTCGGAGAAGTAGTGGGTCTGGAACGGAGTTCACTCAGCCTCTTGATGATAACTGAGGAGCTATTTCAAGGAAATAGCTGCTCCGGTCTAGAAAACCGAAATTAACGGCCGTGGGGATTCGTTGCGCTGACCACGCGACACCCTCTATCCGCAAAAGTTGACACTAAACTTCGCCTACAAGCGGCGGTCGCTCGGTCGGTATGGTTCGCTTGTGGACTGAAAACACTGGGAGTAAGAAAATGAAAGTGCATATAAGTAGGTGAGCAAAAATAATTCTGCAGATTTCCTTACACCTTCACTTTCAGCATCCATACTGTGGTCCTTTAGGTTAACACATCATATACCGTGGTCGGTGTATACAAATATTTCGGAACAGTATATTGCCTCCATCTTCAGGTTAGAAATATTCTACCTTGAAGAAGGGGTCAGTATGTTCTTTATAAAGCGGCCTCCGTAGTCTAGGGGTAACGTTCTCACCTCGTGACTCAAGGTACGCGGGTTCAAACGCGGTGGAGTTCGTGGAATTTTTAAGAGCGGAAAAATTCAGGGAACAAGTCCTCCGGGAGGGACTTTAAGCCGTGCGTCCCGTGTCGTAGCTTTACGGCACGTAAAAGAACCTCANTTATATATTATATGTACGTTAAATAATTATTGTAATATATGTATGCCTACTAATAAACAATTTAAGCCGGACATGTGATTTTTAAATTGAAATATTTAATGAATATAGGTAAATACATATTCTGCAGGATATACACATATTTTCATAATTTTAGAAGTTACAAGACCGCCTCTGTGGTCTGTTGGCCAGAGTTCCTGGCTACAGATCCAGAGGTCCGGGTTCGATTCCAGATTTTCTGAGAAGTATTGAGTCTGGAACGGGGTCCATTCAGCCTTGTGAGGATAATTGAGGAGCTGCTTCAAGGAAATAGCGGCTCCGGTCTAGAAGACCGAAATTAACGGCCGTGGAGATTCGTTGCGATAACCACGCGACACCCTCTATCCGCAAAAGATGGCACTAACTTCGCCGACAAGCGGTGGTCGCTCGGTCAATATAGTTCGCTTGAGGACTAAAATCACGGAGTTAGAAGTTACAAATGAGATTACGGTGTTAGATGTGTACATACGTGCATCAACGAGAACGTCATGCTTTCAGTTGTGAAAGCTACCTTAACAGAAGCCGAGCAATTTACGAACGACTGTTACAACTGAGAATTTCATGGTCCTTAAAATAAATGAAGCTTGGGACTTCCTACGTTATACTGGGAATTACCGATGAAGGAAATTAATTATTCAAAGGCGTGGTCACTTCTAGTGGTGCCACGTTCATACTTCATTGTATGAATACATGTTAGTTGGTTCAAATGTTGTTCGGGAAAACATACGTAAGCTTACATGATTTCCCATATGTACTCGTATATATACAGTATATATAGCTTATTTCCTTCTAAACAAGAAAAACATTCGAAAATACATCATTCGTGTGTTAACTATAAAATAGAATCACTTACGAAAAAAAAGAATTTGAGGTTCTCAGAGCTGTGGATATGAAGGAACTTATATTCTGGGATATAATGCCATATAGTCAATTGAAAGTCAACCGACATTTCGGAGGAAAATATTACCTCAGTTTTCATGCTCAAGTATAAGACAAGCAAGAAACAAGCTCACCTTGGCTTAGCTTATTCTTCAGCTGTGAATATTAAGGTGACACGTTCTTCCGAAACGTCGTTTCACTTTCAACGGACTGCACGGCGCTATATCCCAGAAGACAGGACTCTTCATTTAGAAGGCAATCTGTGCCATAAATCACGATTTCAGCCGAGAGCAGTAACGTTACTCACCGCGATACTTGCAAACTACTGAAGTGTTCTTACCGTTTGTCAACAGAGAAGAAGCAGAGATCTCGTCAGAAGGAGCCTGAGGCAGCAGAGGAAGATGCCAGTAACGAGATTATGGACCTCTCAGACCCAGAGAAGATCACCAAAGAGAGAGGTGGGTGGTGGTGACATCAAGAACCGAACGCGCAACATTACACTGGCACAACAGCGTAACAACGTAACCACACAAACAGTACGCTTTCATGTTACAAGGGGGGGGGGTCCTGCAGCTGATAATAATGCCACTGTGTATGATATGATTTCGTCACTTTCAGCCAAAACACTCTTTTGGAAGTAATTTTCCAGGGTTCCAGTCTCCAGAACACATTAATCTGATTCATGTATGTGGCCGTGCCAAAGCTAAGGCTGTTAGTTGCCGGTTTCCCGCCGTGGCGACAAGGGATCGATCCCAGGCCAGGTCATGTGGGATTTGTGATGGATAACGTGGCACTGGAGCAAGTTCTCTTAAGAGTGTTGTAGTACTATTGCAGTCATTTGTAGAACTACCTCTAAATAGTCAATAAATCCAATAACCCAAAACCCCGTCTATAGTGACGCACTCTAAAACGTGAGAATATTTTGTTTCTCCTGTCAATTCGCATTCCACCAAACCCTCCACGTTCATTAATATCCGAACATCGACGCTACATACTGGCAGAGTAGTAAAATAACTCCGAAAAAGAATTTGGTTTTGTCGTCATCGTTGTTGTTTTTGTTTTTGTTGTTGTTTCTGCTGCTCCTGCTGTTACTTACTCTTTCATTTAGGATGTGTTTAACTACGGAGTTTATTTAAAGTTGAAAGAGATGGGAATATGGTTGGGCATGGCGGTTTACTTTCCACAGTTCTACGTTGACATTCTCCACGAACGACTAAAAAAACATGAAATATGTCCCAAATATTTTTATTGCTAGTGGGTTAGGACTAAGTCCCTTGAATTGCGGCGACTTCTGGCCTATTGTACCAGCCCCAGATGATAGGTGAGGGTGATTGTGGAGCAATTGGTGGAATGAAGATTGGCAGGGGAAACCGAAGTACTCGGAGAAAACCTGCCCCAACGCCACTTTCTCCACCACAAATCCCACTTGACCAGCCCCGGGATCGAACCCGCAGCGATGGGAAGCCAGCAACTAACCGCTTGAGCTATGGCGCGGCCAACTTGTCCCAATACGTAACATTTATTAAGTTATTATTATGGTTATGATGATGGTGATCATTATTATTATTATCATTATCACCACAATAACAACATAGTTAAGTCTCACCATCACAGTTTAGTAACATTACTGTCGTCTGAAGTGCCAAGCCACGTCTCTTAGGTAGGTCGCGCACCGGCACGCGTCAAGACATGTAACAGTCAAGACACCATGTCTGCGACATGACGCAAAGAAAGGAGCGCAGTTGAAACGAATGAGATTATGAAAACCGCTGCACACCGGTCTGAGTCATGATGCTGACCTCAGCTTCATGCTGGCGAATCACGAATTAAGCAAGACTGTGTCTTTTGTTTCATGTCTTGATGCTTGTCTTGATGCAGTTGGTGTGCGGTCCCCCTTAGGAAGCACCAATGTATCGGTGGAACCTGCTGTATAGTTAGGATCAGCCTACTCTCAGCCATGTCGCAACAGTAAGTAAACTTCACTTTCACTGCCGTGATTACTTAAATCCACGCAACTTAATTTATTATTCTTTTATAACCTCTCCAACAAGTGGCGATCGCTCGGTCGGTATAGTTCGTTTGCGGACTAAAACCACGGAATTTTTTTAATTTTTTTAGAATATTTTATTATTCGGTGCATCTGAACAACGCTCGCTTAATTGTGTTGAATGAATAAATGCATGAGTGTGGGTCATGCAATCCGGTCCTTGCACCGCGACCTTCAATGATCTGCTGTGCTTCATTACGTTACTTACTACGTAAATTTATCATCACCCAACTCATCATTTTATTTCAAAACAAATAAGAGTGTAAGATTTTAGGTCCTCTCACCGGTGTTTGTAAAACGTTATATATTCTGGAATATAACGCTGTGTAGTCAGTTGAATGTCAACGGACGTTCATCCATCCGCAGGGTCGAAGAATAAACCAAGCAAGAAACCAGTGCGAAACAGGCAGCAAGCAGAATAGAACATTTCAAATAAATGTGGTTACACTATATAACACACGTAATCACAGGAGCAAGACACAACAAAAAGCACAATAAACACATGAAAATAGAAAGAGTGCTCCAACAGAAGAGGATAAACGTGGCTTGAGTAGTAAATACGACGTAGGAAAAATCCTGAACAATTTTATATTTTAATATTTAATTTTTAACATTTATCAATATATATGATAAATATATATTTTAATTATTTTAATATGAAGACGACAAGGCATGTAATGAACTAGTTTAACGTTAAGCAAATAAGCACCTGAGGATGGCACTTTTGTGCCGAAACATGTAGTGCGAGTGAGAGGAGTGAAGTAGATAAGTGTATGCACTAGAAGACGGTGAAATAAATCATGGACTTGAATCAGTGCAACAGGACGCTAAAATATAACATGGTTACACTACTTTTAGCTTTGTGACTTCATGTGGAGGATATCCTCCTTTATATGCACTGAGGTTGAAAACTCCATTTAGAATGTATATTCTATATTACTTCCCGCAGTTCCAGATTTCCTCAGTTTATGTGTTTGAGTGATACATTAAAAATTATTGGTTTATAACAAGTTTATCTGACTTAAAATCGTAACCCGCTCTCCCATTTGAGTATTTTAAGAATGTAATTTATGAATTTGTCACATTAAGAGTCTGTTATGTAATGGTTAGAATTCCTGCTTCGTAATTTCCAGGTCACAGGTTCCAATCTTGCACGAAAATTGCTACCAATTATCTGTTATAGTCTTCGATACCTGTTTGTATAAAAAAGGTAAAATATTGTAACGCGTTACCTTACGCCCATCACCGCGACAAGCGCTACAATCGGAACGGACACTTCCACGGCAACGAATACGTGGAAATTGTGGAGTTCCCGCAGCGACAAATCGTAGCAACGAATGAGACGAAACACGTTAACGGTGTATTCTATAAGGAACGTTTCCGAAACAACGGACTGTCTGAACAGCGGCAACGGAACCGTGAGGAATGGTGTCCGGTATCCGGTCCGCATAGCCCCTATATAAGCAGAGCTTACGGCCAGCAGCATATGCATAAGACAGACCCGTCCTCTCGTCAGAGAGGGTGCCCACAAAATTAAGACCGTAACTGTCAAACGGTAATAATTAATATCTGGTCATGAGCACCAGATGGGGCTCGACACCGAGATTTACTGACTGACTGACCGTCAGTCGCAATGTGACTTGGACTTGGACATATTGACGAGTCGTTGTTTATATTCCCTACAGAACGGACAATACTTTGTAAGATGAGGCACCGACTAAATAATTAACAATTATATTACTACATCTACATCACGAGCCTCCAATAACAGTTTCTTCATATACATACAAAATATAGAATACTCCAATTTGTCCATGGGAACACAACAAAATCACAAAAACCAACGACTGACCCGATGATGTAAAGCATCAATGGAAGAATTTTATTCTTCTTTTATACTATAACTTTTGTTTTATATATCTAATTTATTGTATTTTTACGTCAAATATTTCAATATAACTAATAGTATTGTATCCAATTTTATTAGTACTGCAGTTCAGTGGTGCATATATGTTAGCCATGTATTTGCCTGGTGATGGCTATTAATAGCCGAAACATGTAGCAGAGCCCAAACTAGGCACTAACCTTGATATAGTTGTGTTGTGACGGTTTTAATAAAGTAGCCGCATATAGTTGGTGGTGAAAACCAACGTTTTAGAGGAACCAGCTGCCTCCATCTTCAGAATTGGAAGCAGTGGGCCTAAACTCCTTAGAATCTTAGATGTCCCTTTGCCAGAATGTATGGTATCATAACAGAGATGACCAAGGTTTGAATCCTTACTACCGCAAAAGCAAAAACTTTTAACCTTTCCACTGGATCTGACTGACACTCGGAAAAAGACTGATTTGAATTGTTACCGAGCTTTGCCTCAGTCGCTTCCGGAAAAATGTCAGAATATTATCATTTCTATCTTTACATAGCCCTTCAAATTTATTATACACATCAATAATATATAGGCTATAATATTCAGCTCAGTGAATCTTCATCAGTTGCTAGAACGTTGTAGGATAATAACCGGCAGAAGAAGCAGAAGGACTCTATCATTTGTCGTTCAACATATTGTAACGTGGAGAACTAAGAGCATCAGAATACAGAGTTGTGATACACGCAGTATACTGTCGGCTGGGGACTATCCACTGTCTGGTCAGGCAAAATACTTGTTGAGCTCTGCTTGGCAAATCTCGTAAGTAGATAAGGGCTGATAGGCGTTCAAGCAGAATAGCTTCATCTATATCGAAACGACAAGCGAATACAGCAGGCTTACAGTAGAATGGGAAGTGCTCGAGGATGTCCTAGTATACTCTTGGGAGAACATACAACACGTAGGATTCTGGAACCGCTTTTCTGACAAGACGCGTTCTCTGCTACACAGTGCTATGGCACATAAATACGATTTTAAGATAATTATTTAAGCCAACGTAAAAATATAAATTATTTGATAATCAGTTTTAGGAACCAACATTTCTAGTATACAAATCTGTCTCCATTACAGTAACACTTCAACATTTTCCGGGTTGTGTTTTTTGATATCCTCAAATTTTATTCCATTACCCCCCCCCCGTCAACACCAAAAGTGTGTACGGGGGTTTTTAAGCGTTTTGGGTCTCGGTGTCCTTTCAGAGAATCGATGAAATATCTGATCAAAACGTAATCCCGCTATGGAATTTTTAGTACAGAATAAGTTTTTGAGTAATTTTTAGATGAAAATCTTGTAAGTACAAAATTGAAAGTGTTGAGTGGTCCCCCAACCCTTTAATCTCAGACTCCCCTGACTGAATAAAAGAACTACGAGGCCACCACGTCCAGACCCACCCACATTTAGACTGAAGAGCATCACAGTGTCTGGTTTGTCTTACAAGTTCAGTGGGTTTGGACATTGTGGCCAAGAGAAAAATCTCACTTCTGCCGGA